CGCGAGGCTATTTTGATAAAATGAATCTCTAGTAGAAGAACTCATCTTATGCATCACATGGAGCAATTGTGAATGAGACACCAACTTTGAGTAGTTAGATGTAATGGCTTAATACTCAATAATTTCGTCTCATAACCATTAAAAAGCCTTTGCCAAATTCTATCTATGATATATAGGATTGTTATTTATCTAACGCTTGGATTATAAGTAGTAGTTCTTAAGATGAAAGTAGCATACAACATAGTGCAGTCATAATCAATTCTTCTTCTAATAATGTATATATATATATATATTATGGAAACAATTGAACAATATTTAATTTGTAGATTGTTCTGATTCAAATCTAATTACGTTTGATACTATAACAAGTGAACCTGTAGATGAAATACCTTCTGATTACATTGGTTTACAATGGAAAAATTTTTATATAATGAATTTAACTGCCTTTCCATCTTATTATACAAGTGGTTTCTATACGGCACTTCAAAGTGGATATATTGCATACAATAAAAAAGGATCAACAATGACAATTAGTAGTAGTCCACCATATAAGTTTAATTTATATTCATTTATTGCTACTTCTGCTATTCAAAATCAGTTAAGATTAACTATGATTGGAGAACGTTCATCAAAAGTATGGTATTCTGCAACATATCCATTATACACACATTGGCCACAATTAATTGAATTAAACTATTTGAATATTGATAAGATTACCTTTTCAACTACTGGTTCATCTGAGTTTGCAATGGAAAATTTGTGTATCTCGATGTAAGTTTCTCATATTCTAAAATATCTCTATTCCTTTTTGTCAATTTTTAACATTAGTTCATCATTAACAACGACTGTCGAACCTACAACAACATGATTTATTTTTCTTTGATTTATATTCTAGCTAAATATAATACAGTTGCACGATTTTTTGTCATGCTATGAAAAATAATCATGTTTTGAATTAATTATTGATGAATAACAATATTTGACACCATAACGACTATGTAACTGGTTACTAAAGGGTATGTGTAGAAGATTGAGGAAAGAGAACTCATATGCCTACACCCATATTCGATAGAAACACGAAAAGTTTAAAGATTAATTCTTATTTAATCACTTGCCTGGGCTGCCGATCGACTATCTATATTAATTCTTAACTGGTTATACGAAAGATATGTCACGCTATGATTGAATAGAAATGAAAATATTACAAAGAAAGAATTGGATACTACTATATGTAAAAGAGAAAAATAAACGAAAAGCATACACATTTCAACGTGTATACAAACGATTGGGTTATTAAAATAATCTTGTTCAAAATTGAAATATTTTTTGAGGATGATGATGTAGCAATATCAAAATTATTCAGTAAACTAATAAAACTCATAAAAATACTTTTTTTTCTATTTGAATATTGTCATCATAAAGTGTAATCTTTATTTTCTTCTCCTCGATAAGAAATTGTTATAATTGAGTATGCTGTAACATTGTCTTACGACTCATTGCAAAAAGTAAGTCATCAAATAACATGATTAAGTAAAAGTATTGACTAAGGAATTATATGCAAAATTAACTGCAAAATAGACGAGAATAAAAAATGAAATGAAATTTTTTGAATCTAGATACATAACCTATTTATTTATATAGTCTAAGAAAAATTAGTAAATACAGAGACAAACATAAGGATATCTTCATCGTAATGATAAATATAAAAGTGTCTTAAGATTAACAGTGAAGGCAAGCAGACTATTTCGCATTTCAATCAATTATATTCAGTCAGCATGATTTATTCATATGCAAGATGATTAAAAAATGGAGTCAATTTTTCGTTGTCTAACTGTTCGACTTGTCTTTCTTCTAAGCATATAGAACTTTGATATAACCAGTCTTGCATCGATTTTTTGGTCTTTTTCGATGATGTAGTCTTCATCAATTCCAAGGTTAATTTACGCCAGACGAAAATGAAAATAACGTAATTTCTATATATCAAAGAAGTCTATCGTCAAATAAATCAGCAACAGATCTTTAAAGTGATGAAAGTATTAGTGATGTAAAAAACATTTCTTCACACTCAACCGATGATGAGTTTCTTGATTATATAAAAATAATCATGAACAGATGAAAAAATCTTTGTAGGTTTCGATGATCGCACAAGTCTTAGAAACACGAAAGAAAAACATTTAACAATAACTATGATACAGCACAAATGGATCAAAATCAGATTTGAAGGTTGGAAAAAATAATACCTAAACGATTTAGACAAATATATGATAGAAACCGACACAATCCTGCACATATAAAGGAAAAAAAACTAGTCGCACGTGTTTGTGGATATTCTATTTTTTTTCTATGATTTTAAAACAATGCTCAATTATTCTCATGAAAAATCAGAGCAGTCTATAAATAATACGTGTGCGGGTGTAGGTGTAGGTGAAGAGAAGTTTCCGACATTAATAGCTTCACCCATACTCACCCAAACTCCAGCCTTTTTTCTGACAAAGTTTATGAAACGTCTCATTACAATCAATTATGGAAACTTATTACTCTTACTGAAAACAAAAATGAGCGTCGATTGAACAAAAATCTTCTTGTCGTAGATCTGTAATCTATCATTTATAGTCTGTTGACTTTTTTTTATAGAAGTACAAGTAGTGTTCTGTATTTGATTGTGTATGCCTTTCGCTAAGGTAACAATGTTCTAAATCTTTATTGTCTGTCTAGTGTGAATACTAACTCCGTTTATCATTCATTTTTGAGCGAAGAAAAATATTGGATAGTACCAATCAATGACTTTTGGTATCTACTATTTGTTGTATATGCTAAATCTTCTTTCAATGGTTTGACACAAACATCGAGAATTTCTATTCGGAGTATTTACAACGTATGCATCATTGGTGTTATCTATGCCTTTCTATTACAAAATCTATCCATTAAAAAAACGTCAAATGATTCATGTGTCATCAAACATGAACTTATTAATTTTTTCGAAGTACTAATAAATATCACTGGAGTAATTTTTCTAATTTTCATTGTACATGAAAAAGAATAAAAACTTCGATAGTTTCTTTGCCATGTCGGCTAAATGCAACAATAGTTGTATGGTTTCTCTATTTGATCAAAAGATAACACATTTTATTTTACTTTGACTCATGTCTTTAACTTTGAAATAAGTAAATATTTGACGAACATCAAAATGAAACTTGTATTTAGTCTTATGCTCGATAACGTTGTGTTCTTTTCTTTCTTAACTTATCATGTGCTTTTTTTTGTCAATAGCTTTTATCTTTCGTTAAATTTCTGTTTTTGAGAAAGGCAAAGTAATTAAAGTAAGACTGCAAATTACAACACTACTTCTACTTATTCAAAGTAAGAAAACGAACAAACTTGCAAAATGAGTAATTCTATCGATAGTCGCAGATGATCTCGAAAAGATTTTTCTCGTTAAAAATGTTATTTTCAAACGAGTCTAGGAAATATTTTCTTTGGAGAAATGTACGATGAAGGTATTCTTTCATGATCGATCCTATAATTGAAATACTCACTAAAATCATTAAAAAAAAATCAATTTTTGTCTTAGCAATTTCACAGAATTAAAACTTTCATGGTAGACATTTAGGTAAATTAGTAAGTGCATAACGCAATAGTTTAGCTGTATACTTTTTTTTCTGTCGTCCAAAAAGTCTGCAAGGAATAAAACATCTTGATATCACTAAATGAGGACTAACTATCCTAAAATTGTAAAATAATAATCGAGTTATTGTTGTCATGCAGTGTTTTCTTTCCTTTAAAGACAAATCTTAACAATATGACAAGATACTCGTTCAACTATCATCAAATATCTACTTCCGTTCAGATTCTGTTTCACCTAAAGAAACAAAAACTATATGGAACGATAAATCAATTATAGACTACTACATAGGGGTATCCAAAAGTAGTGGCAACGACATTTTAATACCACATATTAAGCTTAGTAAAAGTTTCTTGTTACATAGGATGATAGAGAAAAAAATACTCTTTCTTTCTATGCTATTTGATCATACTTCAGTTGACATCATAACGACAAAATCCTAATAAGACTAGTTTTCCTAACTTGTGTAACGGTTACAGAAGTTCATATTGTCTTCAATATGCATTCTTTTCTTGATCGTGGCTTTGTTTTTCTGCTTTCCTTTATTCTTTT